TTTTTTTTTAATAAAAAAAATACAAATTGAATTCTTTTATTAATTGTAGTAATTAACAAATTAACAAGGTAATAAATAGCGTACAAGTTAATTTAAATCTAATTTTAGTTTAAGCATTAGAAAGGAGAAAAATCTTGTTCCGCTAATTGTTTTGAGCAGTATATAAAGCTAAAAATCTCAAAACTAGGTTAAATACAAAATCTCTCTAAACACGTATACAAATGCCTCATTCTACATATTGACATGAATACCTAGTTACTCGCTAACCTTGGCTGAATACCTATTCATGTTTGAGGAGATACTTTTTAAGGCTTTTTACTAATAAACACATGTTTTTCATGCCTTATTTTTTACTTGTATATTGCATTATGATGTTAGCCAGCCATTTTATGAATTGCACAGGGCATATAGGGTGAAAATAATTACAAATACACGCTACACACGAAAAAGTAAAAAAAAATAACTTTGGGTCTAGAACTATAGAACTATTGAGTGTGCTGCTAGAACTCTATTTTTTGTGCTCTACTGGTAAGTCATCTGCTAACTTCACAGACGCGAATAACCCAGTGTAATTAAATATAAAATCCCTAGTTTGTTATCACCGTATTGATAGTTCTGGTGACGCATTACCATGACTGAGTAGAGAGACATAAATTCTAAACTATATAGAAAAATAATCTCTGATGCAAATATAACCTGCTAATTGTCAATAACTGTACTGTAATAATAATTCAGAGCCTCAGAATTTGATTTTACAGAGTGTCAAAAATTAAATATTGACGACATTAGCTTTTGATTTTTGACCTCCTCTTTCCTCATTAATCCACATTATTTCGAAATAAACAAATCAGTATACAATCAAAACAAAATCTACATAACAATAACAATAGAGCAAACTCTACAAATCCCAAAATAATTTAAGCAAAAAGTAGTTTTCCATTTCATCGAAGCGTTATAATGGTAACAACGTCATTTAGGGTCCCCTTTTAAGATCTCACAGTTTCATCCTCTTGTTTGAAGTCTTAGAATCAATAAACACACTATATATTATCTAGAAAATAACAAAAAATTTAATAAAATTTTTGCGGTGCGGCTTGTGAAGGGGCTGAAAAAGCTAAAGCATGCGAATACAGGGGGTCTAGGCTCCCAATATGATTTTGTCCCATTCGGTGTCGATACCCTTGGTCCGTGGGGTCCTAGCACTATAAAGTTTTTTAGGAAATTACAAAAAGGTTAGTCGATATCATAGGAGACTGAAAAACTGGCAGCTACATTAGTCAAAGATTTAGGCTAGCTATTCAAAGGGGGAACGCTCCCAGTATCTTCGGAACCTTTTTTTTAAGGTTTGTAATTGTTTTTTTTATTAACTGGTGCCTTTGAGCCAGTCAGTGGTTAAACTGGTCGAGGATTATCCCTTTAAGTTGAAGGAAGAGTTCACCATCTTTTCACCACAATATTGGTTTAAAAATAGTGCAAAAATAATTCCTACAAATTATTTATGAATCTATCTAAATACAAGTTTTAAACATATATTTTGAATATTGTGTTTAGATAGAACATACGAGAAAAATGCTCGGAAAACGCAAAGTTAAAATAATACGGAATCAGCGAGGAATAAGCACAAATCGTACGAGACGTTTTTATACAAAATAAGGAGAAAACACATTCCCTGAAATGATTTCAGGGAGCGAGGCGTGGATCTCCAGAGATTAGATTATCTTAACATTATGCCACAGTTTACTTATCACATAGTGGTACCGTTATTAGATAAGCGTGTATATATGTGTGCATTTATAAACAAGACGGTGACCAGCCCAAGTGTTCTCCAAACTCTGGTTATTTGTACCTAGGGGTATATATGTGCGACGGCGAAGGCCACGATTGTCAGATCCAGTATGTTGCACATCTGTACGGGGATCTCCCCGTTAACAAAGACGTTGCACTTACATAATGCTGTCTCCGATAGTATCTTTATATGTTCGCAGTGTGAGTTCACAATAGCGATATTGTGTATCTTATGTATTTAATATTATATATTTTTTGTTTTCGATATTATCGTATTGGTTTAGTACTATAAGGATAGTGTATGTACTTTTTGTGAATAAATAAAGTATTTACTTTAAATACTAAAATTAGTATGCGGCGGTAGAAATCAAGTCTGCCGTAGGAGATTCAATCAATAGGCAACGATGGCGAAACGTCGTGAAGCGCATCACATCTGCTTCTTCTATGACTACTAGTTCATAGCGATCACGACCGCTCTGTCAAGAGTGTACCGGATAGGAAGGAGAAGATGCGGCGGTAGATGGCGCTATTTTACTAGATCGTATCACTCTTGGTGTGCCTTGCTTTTTACCTTAAGTTTATGTAACACATAAGCTACTGGTAAAGTACGTAACTTTATACTTAACCTTTATATTATTTTATAGTACACTGAAGTTATATGAGAATACATTCAATAGAACGGTATCTTATTTATCACCGATAAAAGGGTTCCAACCTCTTATCTAAACTAACCTTGTACAAATTAAAAAAAAATCTGACATAAATTATTTAACGTTTCAGAAATCAATAGTTTTCCCTTGATAGTCTATGATCATAGATCCATTTAATCGCTCTACTGTAAGTCATACATTCTGTGGTGACGCTGGTTACTTCAAAATGTGTATTTGGAATTTAAGAGGTTGTTTTGTATCTAATGGTATGAAGATAAATATGTTAATAAAACCTACAGAGGAGCTAGTATTAGGGAAAGAATGTTTAAAATGGTGATTCAATGTTCCTATATAAGTTGTCTGTGACTTATGCCCAGTTCACATTATTCCAGTTGCAGTAGCTGGACTGGAATGCTACTGGAATAATGTGAACCTGCACTGGAATGTACCATTCGTGAGCAATCCAGTCCAGTTGACTGGAATGACGGTCTATTTTTCATTCCAGCTCACCCATTTCAGCGCCATTAGTATAGTATGAACGGCTAATCCAGTACTTGAATACACGTTTAACAGTGACACACATTTTATGGAACTAGTTCCAGTAAATAAAAAGGAAAGAGTGAGTTTTATTTTTACAGGTATGGCATCCCTGAATAATGTATTGCTACGATCAATATTAATTGAAATTAATAATAACAACTCATCAAAATTTCTAACGCATAAATTGTATTCCAAGGGATCTTCTGATTTTAGTTTGTTTGTGATGTTTCATTGCTAAGCCTCCTATTTCATTTCTTCTTTTGTTTTCTTCTTGCACAACATCAACAACTTCTTCTAACAGTAAAAAATGAACAGTTTTTAAACAACTTCTTTCTTGAACGCATTGTCACTGTAGTGTTACCGATCTAACAGCCTTTGTACGAAAGGAATAATTTGGACGTTCTGTATTTTAAACACATTGAAATACGCACGCCCCCTCCATATTCTGCCCCATTAAGGTAGCTACGGGACTACATGCATATGAATAGTCAACGGTCTGCTCGACTTGACTTAGGGTCCTTCAAGAAAAGAGCGTACCAATTCTTAAAAGGCTCGTAAGTACGAGCCTTCTGGCAATGGGGATGTCATTTAACAACATATTTCTCCTCCTGCCAGTTTACCCCCTCTTTTATATATGAAATTCCTGTTAAAATGAACAATGATATGGTGGAAGAATTTAAAAAAAATCTGTAACTGTACTAATTGAAAACTAAATTCAGTCTTCATCTACTAAATGTGTTGTAACAATTTTTTTAACTTGTGCCAAAAATTTCAGTTGGAAACATGCCTATTATATTATATTAGTAGAAGAATTACGTTTACTAGCCGAAGTACAAGAAAATATAAAAATTTGGTCAAATACATCTATGTTACGCATTCATTCGAATCGCTTTAAAAAAGGAATTCCAATTTTGTCTGTTCGAGCAACTTTCCGTTAAAAGTAAATTAATAAAAACCGCGTCCATATTTTTGAATTTTTAATTTCGGAAAGTTTAAAAACTACGTATAATTTTTTTGTTTGTGAATTTTTCAGTTTTTCCGCTTCAACAAAGTTATCGGTACGATTTATCAGCTTTTACGACTACTTTCCGTTTATACTTTAATGATGCTTTAGGGAATATGAAGGGGGCTTTTAACTCTGATCCCTTTTGATATAAGACAAAATCGGATATAAATAACATTTTCCGTAGCATGTTCCTGTCAACCATTGATAATACAATCGTACCTCGGTTGAGCATCAAGGATTAATTTATCAGATTCACCTAAATTCAGATTTACTTCAGAATTTCTTGTAGGTGTACCAGGATGCTATTCCCCTCCGCAAATTGCCTTGAGTGAGCCCTCCCCTTGCTAGAGGAGCTTATACCGCATACGGCAAAGATAGTTCACAGTAAAACTAAAAATAGCATATTTCGTGTAAATTGAACACTTTTAAGAGTAAGCTTAAACTATAAAATCAAATCCACCACATTCCCCACCATCCCACCCACATCACAAGATATGGTGATAGACTGCCGGTTGTGGGATGCTTGTCCAAGTCTTTGCTGTAACTACATCGTACGTGGGGCGTTTTTAAGAGTGTGAGACTATTAACTAATAAGTTAATCACATAGCCTCTAACAAACACGCACACACGAATAAACACATACGTCCGCACAAACACACCAATATTTATAAGCATTATACTTTTCTAGGTCAAGATGATTATGGTAGTTCTTTGTTAATAATAATACATTTGGTTATGGTAAATAAGAATAAATAAATACGTTTTATTCGAGTGCTTTTATTTAAATTTTTATAAAATTCTATTTGAAATTAATACTTGATTTGGATAAACAATTTATGTAAAAAAATCAGATACATATTTTAATCCGAGACATTATAGACGCTATAAGCGTTTAATTAAAATTTTAGAATAAAAAATTGACTTATAGTCCAAATTCAGTGATTTTAATGAAATGTTTAATACTAAATGCATTTATTTATATCCATATAATATGTTCTTTAGTTTTTGGAATCGTCCTCCTAGTCTAGGTCCACTGTGGCCAAAATCCAATCCAGCATTGTCGACATTCGAGCATTTATGTCTGGCTGGCTGGACTTTGAAGGCCGATTCGATGCAACAATTACCCCAACTAACGCCTCGTTTTCCAAAAGCACTGGCCCGCCAACATTACTCTTAAAGTTATAATAAAAATATAATTATTTTCACTAATCTAGGAGAAGCATAAAAAGTTCTGTTTATGAACTGAACTTAAATTATTTTAATGTTGCTTCCGGGATGTATGCATCAAACGCTTTAAAAGTTTGTTCATTTAACTTTGTTACTGAACGGAGCAATAATCAATGGACGCATTTCTTTATAAAGTAGACTACTAGTACTTTATATCAAACAATGTAGTGTTTCAAGTGTTCTTTGTCTTTATAACTAGTCATAACATATGAAGTGTGTGACTAGTGAGTGGAGGCTGTCTAAGGAGGCTCCTAAACAAGACTGCTATGGTTACATTAATACAAACCACAGCGGTTTTCAAATGTAACTTATTATGATTGTATTATATTTTTTGTAAAATAAAGAAATTAAAAAAAAAAAAATTAATATTAAACACATGTTACAAAATGTAACAAACTTCATAATTCACTAGAAATTTATTAAATACTAGCTGACCCGGCTAACGTTGTTTTGCCATGTATATTATTTCTAAGAAATTTTTTTTAGTTCAATAAAAATCACTATAATAAAAAACAGGGATTGATTGTAGAGGGGTGAAAGTTAGGTGTTGTATGTATTTTTGTATGCTGTATTATAAAAAAAAAAAAACAAAAAAATTGTTTAAAAAATAAATTTTGGGGTGGATGCTCCTTATCACTTAGGGGTTTGAAAGATAGATAGTAGCCGATTCTCAGGCTTACTGAATATGCATAAAAAATTTCATAAGAATCTGTCGAGCCGTTTCGGAGGATTATGGGAACTAACATTGTGACACGAGAATTTTATATGTATAGAGATAGAACCCCCCATACAGACACATTTCTCGGAACAAAACTTGTGGCATATCAGTAATGAAAATCGGCTAATAGGTTTTACTATGCTTTGTGGAAACCAACCACTCCAATAGTTCTCCTTGAATGTAAAGACCATTAAAAATGTAGATTTTGATATTAAACTGTAATCAGGAAAAAAAGTTTTTTCTTTTATTCGTAGTATGTGGCTGCGAGTTAAAACCTTGAAGCAATAGATTCGAATTTAAACCTAAAAAAGCCTTAAAAACAACTTACAAAATATTCCCGGTCTTTATTATAACTAGAGTCATTTTCGGTACAGATAACGGAGTCAGGTACAGAGGTCTTTAGTTTCTTGCCACAAGCATTATTTGAGAGAGAAGTTACTATTTTAGATTGCAACAAACCATTTGGACTTATGTCCTGCAAAATTCAATACAAAATTTGTTACTTATAGATATGCTTCACTAATGAGTAGCACAATAATATTTAAGGAAATATAGTATAGATAGATAGGAGACCAAAACCAAAACTGATGTGTAAACAATACTTAAAGTTTGGCTAGAATTATCACTCAGCTAGAAGGTACGACTAGTTGAATTGTATCATTAGGATCGTCTAATAACGAAAACCAATTTTGATGTACTTTTGTCAATATCTGTTTCCATTGCATCGTGCTATTATTATTAAAATAAAAAAGGTATTTCTTATAAGCTATATGTAATTGCGATCCTGCTTTTTTTCAGTATTTGTACTGCCTTGAGATTCTGTTACTCACTTTTCGAACTCTCACAGCGGCGGTCGCGTCCGAAACAGTCGTAAAGCAGTAATTTTACGATTTGGCATTCTGAGATGGAGGGAGCTTGTAGTTTATTGTTTATTAGAATTCCAAATCGTAAAATGACTGCTTCACGACTGATTTGAGCGTGACCGCCGCTGTGAAAACCGCTGTGAGAGTTCGAAAAGTGAGTTACAGAATCGCAAGGCTGAACTAATTTGGCAAAGTATTAAACTTTAACAAACGCAATCCACGCAAAAATACATAACATCGTTATTTCGATTTTCAAACAACTAACTTACACCTTTCACTTCCATCCAACCTCAATTCTTTTCCCTACCATTACACTTCCTTAAACCAACTGGTAGCACTGTTGGCTTATATTTCATGTCTTCGGTTTTTAGCAGAGCGGCCGCGTATTCATACTTTTTACCATTGTAATTTGGATGGATTTTAATTTCCAATACCTTATCCTCGTCGGTAGCACCAATAAACTACTACCTAATAACTTATTACTAACAACTGGACTACTTAAATAGCCTTAACTTGACTAGAAATTATTAAAATAGCAGATTATGAGCTTGAAAGTCTTTCCAAAATGAATTGTAACTCGTTTTTCGTATCATAATACTGGATTGATTTATTTGCAAATATGTAAAACTTAAAAATATAGATATATTAGTATTCAGTGGTATTTTTATAATAATATACTCGTATATTATTTAATTTAAGTTTGATAATTATTTAAATGATCCTAATTCTTGGGATTGATTTGCTCCAGCTCAAATATTTATGGCTTATACTAATGTAAGGCAGAGAAGTTACAGTACAGTTACTGTATGACTCAAAACTTGGCGATTAATAAGAGTGGCAGACTTGTCAGTTCTTCTCACCCGCTCTATGCCCTTGTCTTGCGAATTGGTAGTAAATGTAAATTTCTGTTGACGTTCATAAGTGTACTTGGTTACCATTATGAATAATGTTATTAAAACTACAAAAAAATAACCTCAATTATCCTTAAAATTCAGGAACTCTTATAGTAACTAGGATATATATTTATTGTATATAAACTTACCCTTCGACACAAAGGGCCGACGTCACGATGTAGTTACTCAACAACATGTTTCCAGCGCATATATGTTGATTATCTTTCCTAATAGAAACTATGAATGGAAAATTTTTGGGGTTGACTTTCTCAGCCTCCACTAAAACAAAATATTGCTTAGGAAATTATAAAAATGAAAATTTAATTAAATAGTAATTCAGTCTGTGCATTCAGATGTCTGTATACAATACGAAATTCCGTTAGCTATAAATTACCTTTAATTAATTTTTTCGGTTCCTGAGTTATCAAGATACTTTAAACAATAGAGGATTTTGGTGTTACTCTTTATTAACTACTCGCGTACAACAATAGAATAGATGCGAAATAATGAAAAGTTAATTGCTATGTAACGAATGAATGCATTGTAACAGCCGAACCGAGTGCCTATGTCTGGCTATACTCTCGGGGCGTAACTCCCATGATTTAGTTAATTGCTATGTAACGAATGTCTGCAAAGTAACAGTTGAAGAGAGTGCCTACGTCTGGTTATACTCTCGGGGCGTAACTCCCACAATTTAGTTATTTGCTATGAAACGAATGTCTGCAAAGTAACAGTTGAAGAGAGTGCCTACGTCTGGTTATACTCTCGGGGCGTAACTCTTAAGATTTAGTTAATTGCTATGAAACTAATGTCTGCAAAGTAACAGTTAAAGAGAGTGTCTACGTCTGGTTATACTCTCGGGGCGTAACTCCCATGATTTAGTTAATTGCTATGAAACGAATGTCTGCAAAGTAACAGTTGAAGAGAGTGCCTACGTCTGGTTATACTCTCGGGGCGTAACTCCCAACCACAGCTAGTAACCTTTTTTGTATCTCACACACTGTTTTGTTGTGTTTTTTTAATATTTTTACAACTCCTTTAATGTTAATATTCTAAGGTTTCGATAGTTTGATATGTATAACGTATAGTATTGACTGAAGAGAATTGTCTTCACATATAATTATTTAACAATTGTAACAAGATATTGTGCCTGCATCTGGCTTGCCCAGTTTCTCTTACTCCACACGAAACTACTTAAGCAGAATATCTTTATATTTTTTTTTGACGTTCAAAAGTGCGATTTTAGATGGTCTAATTGAAATAAACGATTTGACTTTGACTTTGACTTTAACAGTAAAACCCTATAAAACTAAGAAAGCCTGAGTGAGCAAAATGACAGCCTTGGCTCGTATAATAGTTTTCATATTTATAACATACAATTTAAGAAGAATTTATACTAAACAACACTAAAACAGTAAAAATATAATAAAAACACTAATATAATTTAAAATAGGTATACTTAAAGTGGCCTACTCAATCAAATTAAATATATTTCTAAAACGATAGAACCTATCAGTTATTTATTATAATTATTTATTTTCAAATTAGTACATTTGAAGATTGCACGTATGAAGTGAAGCCAAATAGGCAAAACTTTCACTTACCCAAAACACTCAGTATGAAAATTGCAAAAATAAATTTCCACATTTTGATTGTGTGGTGCGGTATAACAGCCTTATAACAAAATGATAACATTAGAGTTTTGTAGTTCATTTTATAGGCTGTTTAAATGTAAAACGTTATTGTCTAATGTATTAATTAGTTCATATTATTCATTAATTATTTTATCTTATTTACGGGGTGGGCTGTTTGTATACTCTTAACATTTTGGGTAAGATAACGCTCATAGTCTAATAGGCTACTACTACTACATCTATGCTTACGGTGTTTGATTCGTATAGCAAAAAGCTACTTGAAAATTTTTCCCCATAACCCATACTTTCTGGTTTCATGATATATTTTTATTAGGCGTTTAGGTGATTAGTATTCTGTTTCACACGCCGTCGACAGTTTGGGTCTGCGGCATGCTGAATTCCTCACGACGTTTTCCTTCATCGTACGTAAAACCTACAATTTCTGGTTTTTGTAGTAAAAACTGTTTTTTATTAATCTCAGATTTAACTAACCATACAAATATTAACATAATTTATGTGGTCGTACTAATTTTTAATAATTATGACTTTGGAATGTTCAAGTTATTTTATTTTATATTCATTAATTTATTTGCCAAACAAAAGATATAATATTTAAACTTACTTACATACTACCTTAAACCAACTTATATTATTACTACTTAAAAAATAAAAACATTCATCATCAGTCTCTGTAACAGGTTTAACAAATATATCCAGTTCTGGTGAAGAACTGAGGAAACAGTTATGCACCGAAATTATAGGCGGAGAATTATAGGTGACTGCTGGCGGAGGAGAGTTCGTGAGCTCCACTCAGACGGCAGGGCATGTCTGAAATACTTTTCTGGCACATACACTCTAAGCCAGTGTTTCCCAACGTAGGTCCCACGCCCCACAGGGGGGAAATTAGATTGTTAAGAGGAATTTGAATTTCAGTTTTTTAAATTATATTATTACGTTTTGAAAATTTACGAAAAAAAATCCTAGTAATTGCTTCCTAAAACCTACCAATTAAGTTTCTTAATTGAACAATTACATTTTTAATATTAAAAATTATGTATGCTACATACCAAGAATTTTAGAAACTCTAAGGTGGCACAAAAAAGGTTGAGAAACACTGGTCTAAATATTGCTGGAAGCAGGCCCATACAGTCTGTTTATCACCTTAAAACATTTAGTCCAAAGTAGATTGACAATTGCTGTCTCCGTATTTCAAGAGATTCATACCCCAACGTCTCCAGCAAAAACGCATATGGGTACAATACTCGTAATAGTATTGTATTGTAGTAATATTTAGGCTGGTAATGTTGCCTTTAGAACCGTTTTTGTACTTTTTCAACGCTCCTGACTAGTGCAGCATAAAATTACGCATAACGAATCCGATGCCCTTATATGCAGGATTATAATAGGACCTATTTTCTAAAGGTACGTTTAAGGTAACGAAATGTAAATAAATAAATAATTGGAAGGTCAGTGAAGCGAGAGCCGCAAGTAGTTGGGTAGTTGCTTGTAAATATTTAAGAAATATTTTCGGATAAGTGGCGCGGACCATCAAATATTGTATGCTTTAAATAACCCTGACTGAGGCCAGGGGATCTTTTGTCAATTAATAAACAGACCCATTTACACTCAACAATTATTTTTATTGGTTTAGAAATGCCAAAAACTAAAAATGGAAAGGCATAATTTCAATTTTTTTAATACTAACTATACATAGATTTTTATTTTTATACTCTTTATGACCTGATAATTCTATTGATTACCTTGTTACAGAATCGAATTGATTGACTATGGTTTAATAAATTACCCAAATACTACAAAAATAATTCATATGACCCGTACTTACAGAATTCAATAGCATTTAAAGGCTGATAAAAATATCCAATCTAAAAGTTTGTTAAGTTTAATTGTCATAGAAACCTAACATATGCTTTCATTTAATGCCTTCTACGTGTTGTTCTCTCTTCTGATCGTTTTAAGTATATGAATAGAATGGACTTTTGTATTAGTAAAACATCCTGTATTCCACAAAAATCCACTAATCATAAAATAAATTACATCTTTATCAGTAAAAGATAATGAAGCAATTTATAAATAAATTACTTTGTCTAATTATCAAAAATGTGTGAAAATTAAATTTTATAAAAATATTGTTTTTAAATTCAAATTCAAAAATCATTTAATCATAATATAGGTAAAGAAATACATATTAATTCTTCTAATTTTACATTAAGTGCCAGTTCTCAAATCAAGGGCGTAAAACGGAAGAGAAGAAGTGGCAATAAACTCTCCGCCACTCTTTTAATCGCCATGTTTTTTGTTACATAACGTTTGTAAGGAGCTGCCATTACACCATGTTCCACATGACATCTTAAGTAATTAATAATAATAACATAAATTAAAAACAAAGACTTGTCCTCTATCAGCAGGAGGCATGGTGAAATAGGAGCACGCACTTACATTCTCGTGGGAACAACACGCAAAAACATAAGTCGAAATAATTAACATCACCGCATACACGAATTCAAGTACGATTAAAAGGAAAGAAGGGAAAAATTTATCCCATCTATAACACAGTTATTTAAACAAATAAAACACTATTTATCTTTAAAACATTTTTATTTCATTAGGTATACTATTTATTTTTAAGTGACTCTAATGTCTTCGTCAGAATTTCGGTTTGTAATTTTAAATTAATCATTACTTAGTTGTGCATCTCTGCCATATTCTTAACTCTATGTTTGTGTTCTATTTGAAGCC